GGAGTGTTGAAGTGAGGTGGAAGTGGAAGTGAGTTTTTGTTGGCCTGGGCTGGGAAATGAAGGTGCGGAGGACTGGACTGGAGTGGAGAGGTTGTAAGGTTATTATTATTCTTGAATTTCGTTTATACAGTACCATCTGATGACTGTCGATTTTTCCCATCATCATATCTCGTCACTTTACTGTACTCAAAACCGTGCATTCCACAATTTATATCCATCGACCTCACCTACGGGTCCCAATCCTGTGACTCAAGGCTTCATCGCAACATAATCCAAGGGTAAAGGTAAAGCCTCTGTTCAATACACTCAACCTTTAGCTCATTCGATTTCATGCAAAATTATCTTCAATTGACTGTTTCGTTTATGGATGGAGCTCATTTAAAATACGAGTAGAAGGCTAGAGGTTGTTGATCTTCGAGAGTGAGAGGACTTTTTAATCGATTAATTATGTATGCAAGAAATTACATGGATATGAGTCTGTTTTTGCAAGCTTGAGAGCTGATATTCACTCGAACTATGTAAGATTAGGGGCAGGGTTGGATAGTTCAAGTTGAACTATTTATAGAGAGAAGGGGCTCTTTGAGAAAGCTGCAACTGTCTTCTGATTTGTTGAAAAAACAGTAACTTGAGATGGATTCGTAGCCAGCTATGTGAGTTGCAGACTGACTGCGACTTGCAGTGCGCAGTGAGCGACTGGACAGACTTTCATCATATTCAGAACTGTTTGTTCGAGAAATCCATCATATCTTGGCTGATTATTTTGCTATTTCATCTCATCTCTAAATTGATATATTGTTATTTTATAAGGCCTCTCTTTTGCTATCGTCTAATGATATCGTCTAATGAATGATACATCATGTCTATTTCTCGCTTCTCACTCTTCCTACAAATACAAATTAACTTTTGACAACCCTTATTCATGGCCTGCATTTAGAGATCTGATTATTCCTATTGTTACGGAAAGTGATTAAAGGAGAGCTTACGAATGAGCCTACTCTTGGTTTCCAAATTACTAACACTCAATATATCCCGCGATCTACAGTCAAGTCTTGCAATTGCATAAATCATTCAAAATACATACTAAATATATCGAAGAGCTATCTGAGCAGTAACTAGAAGCGAAAATTGAAATCACTGGATGCAAATCATTTACTTTATATGCGTAAACTGACATTTATAATTAATACCAACTGAAGGTATCCAGGCTAGGGTGAATACCAAGGGCGAGTGAATCAATGAATAGTAATAGGATAGATCGCATCGAGAGTCTTTAAAAGGTAGTAATCGTATCGTCCCTATTGTACTCTGTACTCTGTACAATTCAATGATAATCATCTTATGGAACTCACATAGAGTGCTCGGAATAGCAACGCAACGCAACGAGATCTATATCTGGTTAATTTCTTTCTCCCATTCTACCTGATATATTGAATGACGTGAAGGAAACTTAAGATCTTAAGTAGAGAATGGGAAGTGGATATGAGATAATGAGATAATAAGTTTAATTTCCGGAAGACTGAAGTACTGTCGTTGAGTATGTTTTTATTGCAGCGTTTTTGTAGCGTTGTTGTATTTACTTTTATTGTCGTCTATTTTACTCTGTCTTGTATACTCGAGTAGATATCTTAAGCTCACAAGTCATTCCTGGAAGCGAGACTTAGAACGACTGGAGGCGAATTATTCACTTTATATGCATTGTACAACAGTGTCACTGACTGATAATTAATTAGGCTGCTAGCAGGCTTGGCAAAATAAGCGCTGGATGGAATCTCTCGAGAACCAGTGAATGAGCGGGAGCGGGACAGAAAACTCTTGAAAAGCCGGTATTAATATCTTTTTTTCATCCATATGCCTTTTCGGTAAAGATCTCACAGTTTAAGAACTAGTATCCAATAGTCATCTTGATAATCCTCAAATTTGAGACTAGTTCCCTGAACCTCCTCGAGAACTATTGTTACATTTACATCGTCTGAGGCAAGATACTCATATTGGTGAAACTGCACGTTTCTAGTTCAAGGAACTAGAGTTTATGATGATAATAATAATAATAAGAAATGAGATATGAGATGGAGTTTGCAGTTGAATCATTGTCAAGCAATACACCCCGATATTTATCATTAGTGATATATATTTTTATCTTTCATCGCCAACTAATTTACAAATACCTACGGTATATTCACACCATACTTATCACATCAAATCACATAATCCATCTCTCTCCCAACCTCTCATAAATCTATAAACTCATTCCCTCCAAAATCGAAGCGGATCCCTAGACTCTTGAAGCCATAGATTAATACCCCTAGAATTACATTATACAGAGACGAACTTGAGAGTTTATCACAGCATCCTTCAAGTTTTCTCCACAGAAATGATTTCTAAAAGAATTCTGATTCAAATCTACCAGTATATTATACCTTTACTCAAGTACTCAAGTACATAAAGCCTACTTCCTCATTTAAAACCCAATCATCAATTCAGCATATACTCAGTAATTACATCTCCTTTCTGCCTAACCTGCCCATCATAGACAAAAATCAACATACCGGTACTGTATAACGATATAACAACATCTTCACTCCAAAGTTCAAAACGGATCTCCCCAAACCTAATACAGTACCGGTATGTAAGATCTTACTTAATTTCATCATCCCACATCCGGATGTCTGGCCGGCCCTTGCAGTTTCATTCATCTTTTGGTATCTATCTAAAATTATGGTTGTGCGTTACTGTAACGTTGTACTCGAGTACCGGTATATCTGATTCGAGATGGATTTCTTTGATATTGACAACGATACCGATACCGATATCTTGATGATAGAATACAGACGGATAGAGAAAGAGGCTGTTTCAGAGGGTTGCAAAGGATATATAGAGTATCGATTGGGGATAACTTTATGGATGGATGATTATGTGAGAGACAGTGAGAGACAGTGAGATGAGAAATTTTATTATGTACTGGCTGGCTTGTTTGATGGTTGTGAAATATACTCGTATCATAAGAGTTAGATGGCAGAAAAGTGAGGAGATAGGAAAGGAGTGAAGAAGAAGAGTAAATTTACTCGAGTAGACAAGTACAGTATGAGAGTGTAGGATGATCGTACTGTACTGTAATTCACTGTATTCGAGTACAAGATATAGATACAATGAAGATGCGTTTCATCACCGCTTATTACTCTTTCTTGTCTCTTATCTCATCTCATCTCATCCCATCCCATCCCATCCCATCTTATCATTGCCATTCTTAAGCCCAGCATACCTACTGTCATCAATGATTAAAATTCCACCCACTCTTAACCGATTTTTAATTGATCTCAAACTCGAACCTTCATGTTGGTGTTGGTTTTCAGAGTTCATACAGTACAACTACAAGAACAGATTATATCCTCGCGCTTTACAATACCGGTACTCGTTACAATCCCCCTCCTAGTTTTGACAGATCATTGAGCTCGGCTATTAAGACTATAGGTCTTAAGCTGGGATTTGAGCTAGTTTATATAGTGGAAGAAGAATAAAATCCGTATAGGGAAGTATCATCGTGGTTTATTTCGTATTATCAAGTGTAGTATACCCAATACTTATTCAATTCTATCATCCAACATCTCATCATTTTACAAACTCCCAAAACCCCACTCTCTAATCCCTCACCCCCACAAGCATCTACATATCTACCAAGGAATAACCGCCCCCGTCGCCGCCTCCAAGAAAGTCCCCGACTGTCCCTTAGTCGCCCCATCAAACAACTTCAACAAATCCCTAATCGAATCCCCAAACTCCACCGGCGCCTCCACCATACCCACAACCCTCGCCGCATCATTCCCCATATCCGTCTTCACCCACCCCGGATTAAACGCCACTGTAATAATTTCCGGCACCTCGCACGCGATTTTGCGCACCAGAAAGTTAGCCGCCGATTTACTCACGCCGTATGAGAAAAACGGGGCGTTGTAATTTTCCATCGAGCCAATCGAGCCCAGGATAGAAGTAAGGGTGAAGAAACGTGGGTGGGACGATTCTAAGAGCAAAGGATGAAATGCCTTGAATAGTAAAAAGGGCGCAATGGTGTTAACCTCGAAGTGACGACGTACGGCATCAGGCGAGGATTCAAGCACGGGAACGATGGCGTCGGATTCGAGGAGTCCGGCGTTGGAGATGAGAACGTCGAGTTTGGTGATATGGTGGGTGGTAGCTAATTCGGAGACGGCGGTTGCGGGGTCGGTTTCGGAGGTCGAGTCGATTTTGATGGTGATGATTTTGCTGTTGGTGGCGAGGGGGACACTTTTGAAAGTTGTGAGGGCGGAGGACACGTCACGCACGGCGGCGATGACGGTGGTGTTTGGACGGGCGGCGAGAGTTTCGAGGAGACCTTTGCCGATTCCTCTGTTGGCTCCGGTGATGAGGTATATGGTTTCAGACATGATGGAGAAGAGGTTGATGTGATAGAAGTGATGGTATTGGTAAACGGTCACTTGATTATAGCTTGTCTGAAAGTTAGGATTCGAGTATCAAGTACAACTTTAGTATATTCAGAAAACAGAAAGCACAAAATCAAACCACAACTCCATCCACCTCTGCTCTTATATACTTGTACCAGAATGCCCCAACGACCAAACCACATTTCCCCCCCACTTCTACCCACAATACTCAATCATTTCCAATACCCGATTATTAATCCCACAGACATATCAGTTAATCACCCTCCCATTATCTAAAATAAGTAATCTTTCCTCTTTCTCGTTATTCTCCTCCCCATTTCAGCAATCCCACCTGCCTGCCTACCACTTAGCAAGCACATCCATCTACCGACACCTAATATTTATTTTTCCATCGCCCATACTCGAGTACCGGTATGCATGCTTAACAATCAATCCCAAACGTTGTGATCTGCTGCATTAGTATTATGGACAGGGGGACCCAGTCACTTACCAAAACCATGCAGGGTTCAGCTTCTTCAAGCGTTTTGGAACTTTGGAAGTAATCCTGAATTATTGAGATACTCATACTGCCAAACTACAAAAGAGTAATCTAGTTTTCTTAGTTCCCAAGTTGCGGACTTTCTGGCAGCATGAGTACAGTGTTGTGTGTGTATGTATTCAGTAATCAGTAAACATAACCCATCATATTCCCATATTCCCCCTATCCTCCCATTCATCCATCCCTCCATCCATTTGTCTTTGTACAACTACCGATAACCTTACTTGTAAGTTGTACCGTACTTACTACTGACTTGTACTACCGATACACATACCGATATTCGAATTCTTCAATACAGTCAGTACTCGAGTAAACAAATCAAATTCAACAGAATTCTCGGAAATAATTCGGGCTCTTCACTCTTCACTCTTCACTCTTCAACTCTTCACCCTTTCACTCTTCACCTCAAAATTCAAAGAGGCTACTACTCTCTCTACTGGTACACTACAAATTAGACTCCTCCAACTAACTGTACACATATATTTCCCCACCTTTCCAAAAGCGGTTTTCAAAGTCTAGATCTAAATAAAAGAAACTTGAAACAAAGGAAAGAAAGAAAGGAATACTAGGTAGTCTAGGACTCTAGCTTCGCTTCTACACAAATCAAATCTTCCATAGTAGCAAGGTTGGTCGAACAATGTAGTCACTGAGGGAATTGGTGAGGAGAAGAGAAAAGATACCTAGGCATAATTCAATAATCCAGCACAATAACCATTAGGCAGAAATAAAAGCGAACTCTTAAGACGGAGATTAAAGTCTCATGAAAACATTTACATTAACCGTGTCAAGAATAAGATCATATAGTAATAGTACTCCGCAGATATCAGTATAAATAGATGTACCTCGCCTCACTTCCATGTGTACTGTATTGTCAAAGAATATTGTACCATTCGTGCAAATATCATTTGCAACTTACCCAATCCAAGCCGCCAACCGTTCCGCAAAAGCAAATCCCTTTCCCTTTCCCTTTCCCTTCCCGCATTAAATTTCCAAGTATATAACAAACGCCTTGTTCTAGATGCATCTCAGCTAAAACCCCCCATTCCGCGCTGCGCCACAAATATCGTGATTCATCAACTCAGTTGCTGGGAATACCCAATCCTCAAATGATATCAAGCAGCGCCTTGACGGCGGTATAGAATCATAACGGTAAAGGAATTTTGTGTGTCAGCAAACGTTTTACCCGATGTAATCCAGCCATCATTGAAATCGTGCCATTCGTTCGTCCATTGATTATTCGCATCCACCCTACGAACCAATGTCCAGTAGTGTCCAGAACGAGGGTTTCCACTATGCTGCATGACTGCATAACAATCGTATAAGAATGGAGGTTTCTGCTTTGCAAGAAGTCGTTCTGAGAAGCCATCTTTCTCTGATAACCATGTGTACTTTCCCATATCAAGAACCTCTGGGAAATCTATTTGAACTTCTGACTTGATATTCGGCCCTCCACGAGCTAGCTGAGATACTTTCAATGGAATAAAAAGGTAATCCGGGAGATTAGAAAAGAGAATCTTCATGCTTTTCGTAGAACTTCTTCTAGTGCCGCACGAATCGCAATCGATATCATTCTTTTCTTCTGTCAGACATAAGTCCTGAAGCAGTTGATGCAAGTTTTGTCTTTTCCCCTTTTGCTCGTCGATCGATATGTATATCAAGGGAGACAAGAAATCCGAAAACACGTATACGTCGCCACAGTTGTGGCACCTTGATTCGTTCATGTATTGACTGCTGATCAGTCTTGAAAGGGTCGAATCCGAAAGTGCAAGAGCCCTTTCATATCCTTGGCGACAATTTTGGGTTCTTGGAAGTTGACTGTCTTCCGCCACTGAAAACCCCGAATTACCAAATCCTATTCTATCGCGGTGGGGGTTCTGTTCATCCAAAAGGATATCAAGAAGCCATTGCACAAACTCATTGGCATCATGTTGTGTTGAGGTCCCAAAAGTAGTATCGGGTCGGTGCTCATTTTCACTATGATAATCGGGGTTGGCGCCTATGTGACCTTCTTGGCTAGCAGCAGTTGCATGTACGTATTGCTACGATCGATTAGTAGACTGTTATCTTGGATTTGATTAAGCTTACTTGAAACATTCTTGGAACAATTTCTTCATATTTTCCACACCACATGTGTTGTAGCAAACTGCGCAGAGCCCGGGTCATCAATAGCCTTGGGGGGCTGTTTTCGCCCTGCTTTCTCGGAATTTCAGGTTGGCAAGGATATTGGAATCTGATAAACGTATTCCTGATTGCTGGCGAGGCACTAATTGCCTGGAGGACAGCATTCATGTAACAGAGACTGCCTGTGATGTTTCTCAAACCACAGAGGCCGGGGTCTATGGGAGAAGGAGCGCTGGAATTTCCTCCTGTCATGGCATAGCTCTTATAGAGCGTTTTCTCAGAAACACCATTAGATCTCTGCCTTGGCAAAGCTGGTGGCGGTCGAGTTGGCGGGGTTGAAATCATTGATCCATCATAGAGAGGCAATGACCTCGGCATGGATGGCGAAGCCATAGCCATAGATTGTTTGACTGATGGAAGTTCTGGGTATCTTCTCATAAATTCCTCGGTCGTTCTGGCATAATACGATTCGTCCATAGCTATTCCTTCGACGGGTGCAGCATCTTCATCCTCAGCATAGTGTTTTATCGCCTTATCCCATTGTTCTTCCTCTGCCGCTGATAGAGTCCGTGATCTAGGGGCTGTTCTCTTCGTGACCAGACCTCTCCGAGCTTCACGTGCTATAGAGACTCTACCCAAAGCCTGGTTATCATGTCTCTTAATTTTCACCGGAGATTTGTTGTCAGGAATTGCGCTTTGCAACGCGCCCGATCCAACGAGGTCTACCCAAGCGTCTAGACCACCAGCAAGTAACATCGGTCGGCGCTTCAATCGATGATCGTAAGCATGATCGTAGATAATCTTACTGAAGTAGTGCAAATGGTTCAAGAGTTCAACTGGAGTTTGTTCCACGTTTGTCAACGTCGATGATTGATCGTAACATACTATTAAATCAAATGTATGCTTCTGGTCGTACAACTTCTGTTCCGACTCAGGAGATAGCACGATTCTCTCTCCGAGATCCTCTGCGGACATGTCTTTCCGTAGAGATATAGGTTCAATGCAGATAATTGACGAAGACATGATATGCCCTTCGTCAAATTCTTCTCTACTTCGAATATCAACGAGTAGAAGACTCAAGGTATTAGAGCCCATTTTGAGAAAATCATAGAGTTGCTCGGCAGTAACAGTTATCGTATTGGGTATTGATAGTTTGCTATTCGGGAGTTCAGGCTCAGGATGACCATGATGATCAAATGTGTAGTTATTGACCTCAGAAGTCGAAAAATGATCCATTGCATCATCAACCACCATTCGATTACGATTCATTTTCGGGGTTGAAACTAAGGGCTCTCTTCTCCCATTGGGGTACGAGGACCCCCGAGATATCAATGGGGGTTGACTGTTGGTCAAGACCACGTCTGCGCTACGTGCTGGACTATAGATCGCATCCGGCATCCTTGGCATCACTGGAACTTTAGTATCCATATCAAGAGTCGGCTTTTCTGACTTGAGAAGAATTGCTGGACTTGTTGGCATCTCCCTTGGACCGAGAGGCCGCAAAACGCTCGTATTTTGCTTAGGCGGTGCTACTGCATTAGCAGATCTTCGATCGACTATGATTTCATCTGGAATAGTAATATGTTGGGTCCGGATCCTAGGATCTTGAATAAGAGTTGAATTATTTAAACTCCTTAAACGGGCGAATCGTGCGGCCAAGTCATTCTCAGATGAGATAGGCAGACTGGAGGATATACTGCTTGTCGTCTGTATCGACTTGCCATGAAGCCCTTGTGGTTTCGGCTGTATAGCCGGCTTTGAACGACTTTCAGTTCCCCTTAGGATATTTATAGCGTCAAGTTTTCCATCGGTCGCATTGCTATATACATCAGATGCGGTGGGCTCGAATCCATTATTGTTACTATTGCCTGGAATGAGGTGGCCATTATTTAGGGGTGGGTTGGAGGGGCTGATTCCGCTTCTTGCATTGTCCTCTTTGATCAACTGCTTAACTTCCTCGAATTTGGGGTGTTGTGTATTAAGCCGTTTCCGCAAGCCAGCGTATAGTCGAGGGTAATCCGGTTTGGTTCTTAGGTCGGGATAATCCGGACTATGGGGAATATACTCCACAGCTATTGTACAAGCTACGATGTACTCTTTGAGAGCTAATTCCGGCCGTTTGAAGTCGAGCCATGTTTCCGCTTGTTTCGCAGCCGCCTCACCAGCTTCCAGTAACTTTCGTAATGAGGACTGGCTATCGACGAGTGGCTTCGCATTTACCAAATCGTCCAGATGCGGTAGTACTCGACTGTCACCCTTCGAAGTGCTGATACCATTAATCCCATCTCTCTTTGTTGTGTTGGTCATATTAATCGACCCAAATCCATTGATCGAAGTAGCTCGCAAATGGGGGGGACCGCCGATGGCCGCTGGACTCATGATTATAGATTTTCGAGATGCTGGTGAAGCATTCTGTGATAGAGGGATAGGTCGAATTTAATTATATCGTATTTCTTTAAGAGTTGGGTCGTTGAAAGGGAGACAAATAAGTTCGGGGGCTTCGATAGGGACGTGAACGGGGAGTATTCAAAGAAATTCGTATGAAAGGAAGGTCAAAGGATAATTAGACTTAAGAGAAAAGTGCGTTATTGAATCGGGAAAAAAGGATTGTCGTTACTTGTTGTCTTTATTGTTGCTTTGCGCCACATACATTCTTCGAAGAGTTGAATTCCTTAATGCATCGAGTTATCGAGTATCAAGTATGGACGGGGAGACTGACTGGATATTGGAGATTGGAGATTGGAGAGTGAGTACAATCAGACCTGTACGGGTAAGGTAGATTTATCGATATCCACGTGGAACCTTTATTGGAAGTTTTATTGGGGAATGAGTGATAGGTAAGTACTTGTTACTTACTAAGCATAAACAGACAGGTATGAGTGATATTATCAGTACTTATTTTCATTTTGTATAATGAACTAAGGAGTTCTTGTATATAAAGTTTAAATATATTTATTCTATATTAAAGTAGAGGGTATTATCGATTGAATTAATAAGTGTGTATGTATCACCTGAGAGATTTGGATGGTGAATTTGCTGCTTTAAGACTGTAAAAATCGTATGGTTATTATTTATTTATGCTAGATTCAGACTTAAATTACGTAACTTCTTATCAATTGTTAGAGCCACCCCCGAGCCATCCATCCATCCATCCATCCATGAATTCATTCAATCGTCGTCACATATCACATAACACCAACCCACATCACCCACGACCTCCGCATGAGAACCTCATAAGTTTAAACAATCTACTTTACCATTACCAGTCTACCTAAATTAAACTAAAACTCTACCCGTCTACCCGCTACATTTCACATGAAGAAGATTCCATCTGAAAAGGAAGGTAAGACTTGAGACATTAACACAACAACTATCTACAACTTCGCCTTCCCGGAGCAACTTTTCTACAAATTACGAATCTGAATCCCTTGCGATTAAATCCATAATATCTGCATCCGTTTGAAGTTCAGAACCTGAGCATATTGATAGTCTCTTTCGAGGTCGCCAAAATGATGGCAGGATGGTTCGCATCCAACTCTGCTTTGGATGAGCAGATTGAAAAGGCTACCAACTCTTCCCTGTTAGTCCTGAAATTTACTGAGGGGGTTCAATATTGTTAACATCAATCAGAGAGGATATCGCACTCAACCTCGAAATCTCCGATGTGATTCGTTCCAAAACTGTGCGCGCAAATGAAGCTATGCGATCACTCAAACGGCGCATAGGCAGCAAGAATCCCAACTTTCAGCTCAGTGCACTGAATGTATGAATGATCCATGATACATCTAACAATTACTCTTTGCTAATTATGATTGCAGCTAACGGATACTTGCGTCAAGAATGGTGGTTCGCACTTCCTAGTCGAAATTGCATCGCGCGAGTTTATGGATAATTTGGTCTCGCTGCTCAAGGCATATGGCGGGGCTGCCGTCAACGACCACGTCAAGATTAAAATATTGGAGCTTATACAAAGCTGGTCTACAGCGACCGAGGGCCGCAGCGAGCTGTCTTACATTGGAGAGACCTATAGAGCTTTACAAAGAGACGGGCTCCGATTTCCACCCAAGACCGATGTCGCAAGCAGTATGTTGGATAGTAATGCTGTGAGTAAATGACCACTTCTTCTTAGTGGAATATCGCTGATCTGCTACAAGCCACCAGAATGGATAGACTCGGATGTTTGTATGCGCTGCCGGACAGCATTCAGCTTTACGAATCGAAAGCACCATTGCCGAAATTGCGGTAATGTTTTCGACCAACAATGCTCAAGCAAGACCTTACCCCTTCCCCATCTCGGGATTCTACAGCCTGTTAGAGTAGATGACGGCTGCCACATAAAACTCACCGACAAATCTTCGAAGGGTCCTTCATTTACCAACGAACGATCGCCTACGCATACATCACACAAACACAAGTCATATGCATCTATGCAACCTCGAGACGCGCGAGTGGATGACGGTTTTGATGAAGACCTCAAACGAGCTTTGGCAATGAGTCTGGAGGAGGTTAATGGTCACTCAGGAGCTGGCTATGTTCCACAGTCGAAACTTCAACCTGTGCCAGAATTCCAGGAACCCCCAAATAAAGGACTTGTTACAAAGGATGCAGGCAAACCCGGAGAAGAAGACGATGACGATCTGAAAGCGGCGATTGCGGCATCACTTGCCGATATGGAAGAACAGAAAAAAAAGCATACAGCTACCATCAAAGAGCAGGCCTCCACCGTTGACTCGAGCAGCTCTTTCGCAGGTGCTTTTGTTCTGCCGAGGAACCATTACGAACTCACCCCTGTCGAGGCGGAAAATATAAATCTTTTCTCCACCCTGGTAGATAGACTACAGACTCAGCCACCAGGGACAATCCTACGAGAGCCTCAGATACAAGAGCTTAATGATAGTATCAAGACCCTTCGTCCAAAACTCGCACACACCTACGGAGAAACAATGAGCAAGCATGGTTTGTAAAACTTCTGACATTTCATCTCCCCTAGCTAAACATTCTATAGATGCTTTACTAGATTTACACGCCAAGCTTTCCACTGTTGTACGGTATTACGATCGTATGCTTGAGGAACGTTTGTCGAATACCTATAAACAGCACAGTATCGGAGGGTATACTCTTCCTCAGCAAGGCGCTACACCTAGCATGTATCCTTCTATCCCTTCCAACGCACTCAATGGGGGTGGAGGGGCAGAAAGTTTCTACACTGGTAGTACTCAACGGGAACCTTATGCTCCTCCCCAGTCGACATATTCTTACCATTCAGGTCAACAGCAGCACCCCATATACAACAAAAGGGCTTCTGTTTCTGATATTAGTTATCCTTCGCCAGACCAGCGAAACGAAACTTTCGCCCAGCAACAAGGTCACCAAGTTCAACGCCAACATACTGGCAATTGGCAAACGAGTGATCTTGCCCCTCAATATTCAGCCCAATCGACCCCTTATTCGCCACAGCAGCAACATCAGCCACCCGTCCAAGCTCAAGCATCGCCAGGTGTTCCATCTCAACCTCCTGTCAACTTTGTTCCATTGGAGCCGATTAATAAGGCATCCGCTGATACTAATACAGCGGCTTATTACAGTACTGCTATTCCTCACCAATCTCAAACAGCACTAGATCAGGTAAAGCCTCAGTATTCGGTTCAGTCACCTCCTCAGTATCCACATGCACCTTCGCCTCAACAATTTACCCATCAGCCATCGAACCCACAAGAGCCATCGTATTCTACCCCTCAACAACAACCTCCATATTGGCAATCGCAACAACAAGCTCCAATACCTCAACAATCATGGCCTACGCCTGTGTCAAACTATAATGGATACTCTCAAGAATCATTTCCGTCTGCTCCACAACATGCTCCGCAAGCCAAGGTCATGGAAGAGAGTCTCATAGATCTTTGAGCTGTATCAATAAGAGCGAGGCGTTTTGGTGCGAATTACGTCTATAAATTTATCGATGATCTTAGTCGGCAGAATTGATTTCAGGGCTGGAGTTAAAGGATATCACGGAACCATGAATATACGGACACCACATCCTCGGAGGAAATTGTATACTCATATTGACAGTGCAATGAGAATTGTCCTTAATCTATGGTCTCAATATTGTATAATAGTTTAGCGTTTACGCCTTTAGTCTGCCTGGCTACTCCGCCACTTCGAAGGAGATTGTATCCACTTCCCGGTAGTCTAAGAACTATATTGGACGCTCTATGGGAATAGTTAATTAATTTTCTGAAATTGCAAGAGTAGTCAATCATATGGTCGCTACGCTCTATCCACCCGTGGACGACCTGCTCTCTATCTGCATCATGATTAGCGTTCACGCCACTGAATATAAGAAAGCTATCTCAGGTCCTTCAAGAACAGTATCATCCTTCAGTCATGGAGATCACTACCGGTGAGCCCCGTATACGGGTAGATCACAATGAGGATTGGCTTTGCAGCCTATTATTTAGCTAGTGTCACATCAATCCCCACACTCTCCGCATTCGTTACTTGTGTGGTGGCTCAAATAGACTCGGCGCTAGTGGTATTCAGCGTGATCATGATTATAGGAGTCAAAACCCCATGGCATCGTCGATAGTTTCTTCTTCAATACAAAATAAAATACATCCCACTTTCACCGATTTCTTCTCCGCTTTTATTATATTGTGGCAAGCCTTATTTCCCTCCAGCCCGTATACGCCTGATTAGACATTGAGTGTGGCCCTCCCGATGGGTTGATATAGTGGCTAGACGAATCTACGTTAGTTTTCAAAGTTGGGTTTTCCACTTCCCTGTGTTTCCCTGTGTTTCTTGTTGGTAGGTACATATCTTATTTCATCGTCTTTTGAGACTCCTTGTACTTCTTATACTATTTATCTTTTATTCTACATCGTAATAGTGATGATTCCCTCTGCTAGCTTGTGATATATGCAGTTATACATCTAGCTGTTGTCTCTCTCTGCAATTAGTGAGCTAATTGCTTCGGAACTTTTCATGTACGGCCGTAAAGGCATAATAATCACCTAGTAGCGACTTCCAAAAAACGAGCTACCACGCTTCTGTCTGTTGTCTCAACTTCTATTTTCGAAAAATTGAAGCATCTTCTCCCCGGTGTTAAACGTTCAATGCCCACAAGTGACCATGAACGTTGCATCCTCCCTAAGAAAAGTATCTCTGCCCTTTCTTCCCAGAACATCTCTTGAGTTGTAGCACATGTACTATCTACTTTCTTGAATATATCATCCGGGAACAAATAAATTAACTCGCCGTTTCCAATACACAGTGTAGTGGCTTCAACGTAGAACCCATCAACGAGGAAATGGCCGGCAAGAAGGTTGATGGTTGACGATTACGCGTTCCAGCAAATTCCCTTCTACCAAAATGCTTGGGACTGCAAAAATCTCATCCGGATGGCTCTTGAGAGGTCGATGCGAAGAATTTGCTGTATGATGCCATCGGATCTACCCGTTGTGCTTCTTTAATATTGATGTTATCAGGGGAGAATTGGATAGAGGAATGGGAAATTTAGATATGTGCCGATTTACTTCCTTTGTGGAGGGAAGCGTTGGTGGAATATGATGATGCGTATTTGATGGTATATGGGACGGGTGTAGGGGGAAATGCGTGCGCTAGTATGTGTTTTGGATGGTTTGGAAATTATTTTGTGTTTGGCAATCATTCAATCTATTTAGGCTCTTGTTTTATCTTCAAATTAATAAGGGCTTTTTTGGATGCAAAAATCCGGCCTATAATCCAGATTCTTCTGTTTTTGGTGTGAAAGAGTGATCTCAAAGTATAGTAGTAGACTTAGTAGTCTATTAATAATAATAGAATAAACTTAATTATTAATTTTAATAATATAATAAAGTATTATTATATTTTATATTTTCAAACCTTTTTCAATTAATTTAATTTGTTATTTCATTATTATACTAAAACCATTTGTTTTAAGTACAATAGATAATAGTAGTAAGACTACTGATTTTTTTGGAACCCGCCGAGTTTCTTACTATTCGATATACAATCGTATCGCGTAATAATGCCCTTAACACGGTCGCGCGTAGTCGAATATAGCGCGTTAGAGGATGTACAGGTTGCTTTGAGGGATGAAAAGTAACTCTTCTAATAAGTATCGAGACAAGAACAATTCGGCCTTCATTTTGTGACATTGAGTTATTCGGAATTGAAGTAAAAGGCAAATAGAATGATAGGAAAGAAGCACGGCTTGTATATCGACTACGTTAGTCGATAGTAAGCAAAGTCGAGGATTCCTTACAACAGTTGGTTTGCTGTGCTTATTTTAAATCATCCTTCAGACTCTGTTTGCAGCTTGGGTTCAATATTCACGTTTAATCAGTTACGAATTATGGTCGAATTTGTTATCTCAAACTCTCTGCCTCCTATGGACGGAGTGAAGAGTGAAATTTCAAAGAAGACAGATGCTCGAGAAGATGCGGACAAGACGTTACGGGAGACGGAGGCGAGCTGCGATACGCCTAAAAAGCCCTTAGCCTTCTACCTAACCTTCACTGGACTCATTGTCGCAATATTTCTTTACTCACTTGATGCTACGACTCTTGCTGTTGCTATTCCAGTAAGTTGAGTAGATACATCCTCCTGCTGCCCCGATGTGATAGGAGAAGGATGTCTGATCGTAATACTTTGCAGTACATTGCGGAGGATCTAGGTGGCTCAACTCTTGAGTCTTTCTGGGCGTCAATGTCGTATATCCTACTCGTCGTTCTTACGCAACCGCTCTACACAACTTTCAGCGACATATTTGGCAGGAAGCCACTTCTGCTGGCCGCCTTCTTCTTTTTCGGCGTAGGCTCTCTCACTTTTGCACTTGCTCAGAACATGACAACTATCGTTGCGGGTCGAGCTCTTCAAGGTCTTGGTGGAGGAGGTCTTAATGTACTAAGCGACATCATTGTTGCTGATATGACGACTCTTGAGGAGCGCTCTAAGTATCTCGGCATAATGGTGCTTCCAATTGCTACTGGGACTCTCCTTGGTCCATTTATAGGCGCCTGGTTCACTGAATTCGCAACATGGAGGTGGATCGGGTGGGTGAATCTACCATTGGTAGGGGTCGCATTCCCGCTAGTCTTCTTCTTCCTCCGCCTGCGAACACTGGAAGCATCGTTCTTAACGAAGCTCAAATCTGTAGACTGGGGTGGGGTCGGATTGTTTGCTGTAGGATGCGTCTCGTTCGTCTTGTCTCTTTCTTGGGCCGGAAATTTGCACGTTTGGGGGTCTTGGAGAACAATTCTTCCTCTAATCATTGGCGCTATGATACTTGCTATATTTGCGATCTACGAGTCTAGGCCTGCAAATCCGATCGTGCCGCATCGACTGTTCCATTCGACGACGGCTATTGCTACTTTGTGTGGAGCTTTCATCAATGGTATGATCATGTTTACGCTCTTACAATGGCTACCTCTGCTATACCAAAGCGTTATGCTACAGACTCTCATCTCATCATCATTGTCGCAACTGCCCGCCAGCATCGCTAGCATCGTAGCTGCCATTATTTCTCTCGTTGCCGTCGGTAAAATTGGAAAAGGCTATCTAATGAGCTTGAGGGTCGCTTGGATCTTAATGACAATTGGATCAGGCTTGCTGATTCTGTTTGACGCAGACTCATCTGCAGGAATGCGTTACGGTCTTCCTATCATCTACGGAGCAGGCATTGGTGCTCTCCTCCGTGCTATTCAACTGCCTATGCAAGCGAGTGTACCAACTGTCGACGATACCGGCCTCGCAATCGGCCTTATGCTCTCTTTTAGGTTGCTCGGAGGCCTTGTTGGACAGTCTATTGGGTCTGCGATATTTAGTAGCGTTTTCGCTTCTTCGATCAAAGACATTGGAGTCCTTCCCAGTTCTTTGATGTCCTTGCATGCGAACAACGCAATTGGTTTTATACCGAAGCTGAGAATGTTGGACCTTTCTTCTGAGACTCTTGCCCCAGTCTTAGATGCATATCTAAACTCAATACGAGCAATATTCTACACAACGACTGCGCTAGGAGCTTTGGGCTTATTCTCATCGTTCTTTACAAAGGAGTTAAGCTTGCAGAATTCTGATCTTGGTCGACAGCGTTTCGAGAAATGAGGGGTTACGTTTGGAAACTGTTGCTGTACTACAATAGAATAGGAAAAGCAAGAGGCCCTAGGATGCCTAGTGGATTTGTTCTTTAGTGTGCGAGCTGCGAATGTACTATCTGGTGTAGATCTGGACTCTAGAGACAAGGAAACGCGTTTCGACATATTTGGGAATTGAAAAGCAATACAAGCGACATATTCATTTTTTCCGAAAGTTTCTGTCTCATAGGGATCTAGTAAAGTTTATTTATTTGTATTATATAATGATCAATATTGATTACCCATTTTTCAAAGGAAAATAGAAAGGATTCTAGTAATGAATTTATTGAAAGTTATAAAAAAGAATCTAAATATCTAATTGAACCAAAGAATGATAAAGGCAATAGAAATCTGGAACAAGTCCAAGTTAGATCAAATCCCAAAAAAGAATCTATTTGGAATTATTATAAGTATTTAATTATATTTGTTAAAGAGAGCGATTCTTTTCTTTTTAAAAAATATCAGGATTTATTTAATATTGTTGACAAATCTGGTAATATCAGAATTAAAGAAAGCAATATATTCCTTTCTGAAAAGTATCGGGATTTATTCAATACTATTAATAAATCCGGTGATAT